AAATAGCAAATTAATATACATTAGACGCTGCCCGAAAACTAAAAATATTTGACAATAGCGAAGTGCTAGATCTGCATACACTGGTTATGTTATTGCTGGTCAACTCAGGGCACTGTTTTGAAATTCCATCACTGTTTGCCTTGTATATACAAAGATCACTCAGATACTGCTTTATTAGTGAAGAATAAAGCAGAACAAACTTTAAATAGCCCAAGACCCAAATAATTAATATTGCCCTTTCAAGAACTTCCCTCTTCCCACACCTTTGTGCTGCATAATATTAAACTCTGTTCTTACCCTCCATGTCACTGTCAACCAATCCATCTGCAAGATCTCTTCCAGGGTCCTTCTCTCTGATTCCCAAAACAAGCTCTCTTCCTCTCCAGTTAGTCTCCCACCCTTCAACTTTCATATTGATAGCCCAGCCAGCCACTTCACCTCCTACCTCTTCATTTGACCTTAGTTAACTCAACTCACCAACGTACCCAACAAGGCTATTTCCTGGACTTTATCTCCACTAAGGAATGCTCATTCTGATCTCTTAATAGAGTTCCCCCTCTGACCATCAACTCATCTCCTTTAGCATTGCCTACTCCCCTCTTGCTCACCAGTCCATCTTTACCAGGATATCAGCTCCATTATCATCCCTTACTAATCTGCTCTCAGAACATTACTTCACAGCTGACTCCCTCAAATTCGCTCACCAACAATGGATGAGTCATTTACTCCTCTCTCTAGTGCACTACTCACTCCAAATCTCAGACACTTAGCATGCTCCTAATTTAATGTCATGGTTTTTCCGCTTGCCTTCTCTCCATTTCCAATCTCTCCAATGGTTTCATTTACCCCAATTCCTGCCCAGTTTCTCAAGACCCTTGACCCTATGCTCCCTCCCATAACCACTATTTTCCCCTCACCAAAGCACCATGCTTTCCCCTCCCTCCACTCCTAATTTTTAAACACTACCGACTCCAGCCAACAATCGTATTTCCCAATTCTTCCCTGTACCTGTAAAGCTCACTGAACATGCTGTTTACAATCACTATCTCAACTTCCTTACCTAACGCTCACTCCTGATCTAATCCAGCTTCCACTTTTTCCATTCCACAGAAGATATCGTCACAAAGGCCACTAAGAACCTCTTCCTATTAAGTCTCAAGTCCATTTTCCTAACCTTTCCACTGATAGTATTAATTCCTCTTTCCCTCACATCCTCATCTCCTGGGTTTCTTTCTCTCTGGCTGCTTTTTCAGCCTCTCCTTTGGTGGCTGATCCTCCTCTCCACTGCCTTTCTCCATGGGAGATTGTGTGGTGCTGTCACTTATTTTTGGGCAACCTCATCCAATCACACAGTTCCCCATTACCTAGGCTATTATCTACACTGAGAAATCAAATCTTCTGCTCATCTGGTTTCCCCCCTCTCTTCTCTCTCAGATATTGCATACAAGGCAGTTTGTCAACAACTGAAGCTCAACATAGACAAAACTGAGGTGCTTTTTTTCCCTCTTGTATCTTCTCCACCATTCTCCATTATTATCAACACAAGTAGTTTCTCCATTGCGAAAGTCTGCAACCTAGAATGACCTTCAATTCCTCTCCCCATACACAGTTGCAAACAGATCTTGCCTTCTTCCCCAAAGTATCTAGAACCTGCTCTCTTCTTTTCTGCACCAATGCCATAATCACCCACCATGATATCTACAACTTCCTTTTCTCCAGTTATCTTGATCCCACCCACCAAAATCCATCCAGCATTATGCCTCTAAAGTCATCTTCCAGCACTCTGACCAGAGGAATCCTCTCTTTGAAACCTGTTGTTAGCTCATTGTCCTGTTAGCAGGGTCAAACTTGTTCTTTCAGAAGCCCTCCACACTAACTCTACCCTTATCTCCTACGCTGTGTCACAAACGATGCTATTCTTGACTCCTCTTTTCCTTCTGATGCCCCCTCCTCAGCATCTTTCTCTATACCTCTCCAGGTATGGAATGTCCTTCTAAAGCCATTTTGCCAACCCATTTTGCCAGCATACATACAAACCATCAACTTCCATTTAAATCCCTCCTGAATAATCACTTCTGCAATTTCTCCTACGATTTAACATTACATATGTAAAAATAAATGCAGTTGTGCACTTGCCATTGTCAATACCAAGTAACCCTATGATTATGTTGTTGGAACCCATGTCCTCCCACAGTCCTGACCAGTCCTGTTGTTTTGTTTCCCCATCCACAGGGCAGGCTGGAAATTTTACTGTAAGCTGTTCCTGGCAGGGACCTCTTCTTTTATAGGTCACGATAAAGTTCCTAACACATTCCTGCATGATGGTAAAAAAAACCCAAAACCTGAAATTACGGATCATGAGAGGCAGGAAAAACTCCTTTAATATCTCAATAAAAGGACATAAAACTCAACAATATTGTGCATCTATATTGGGTGGGGATTGGAAAAGAATGGAGACATGTTGATGGTCACCACATCAGACCATTGCATGGTCTTTAATACTGAATATGGGAAGCCACAAGTGAATTTAACAATTCAGTCATACAGCTAATAAGAGAGTGTACCTTTATTTTAACATGTGCACTGCACTCGTGCAGTAGATACAATGCCAGCAGTCTTCCTTCAGCACAGTCAAATGACTACCAATCAAGTTTTTAAATATTTAATCACATTTCTTGGTGGAAGCAGCATTTAGTGCAAAGAATAAAAACCATTTTTTCAGTCTCTGTTTCCATGTGTAGTGAGGCACTCGTCCAACTATGTCCCAACTGGCTTTAAATGTAAGATGTTGTTCAACTATAGCAAGTTTCATCTGAAATTCACATGAAGCTGATTTTGTTTAAGTTTACACTACAGCAATAACAAATAAATAATGAGTGACAGTGTTTTAAACAAGGCAGTAATGTAAAGAGAAAAACAGCTGTGTTCAGTGTTTGCCAGTTTGTTTTCTACTACATCTATCTCTTTAAGAAAGTCTACATAAAAACATTCCGAATCAAAAGAGTTACACTCCCCATCCTCTTTTCACAATGTCAATATACGAGGAAAAATTGTCATATGTATTGATCAGCTTTCAAAACAATGCTTCCTCCCACCTCCCCATCACCCATCAATTTAAGACTCCTCTCCCTCATTGAACATTCCAGGGACTGATTTCACAGCATCTTTCCACTTTCAAACAGCTCTAATTCCATGTATCTCTGCAAAACAAAGCAAGTCTTGGTGCTAGAAACCTATCAAGTGTATTAGATCATGTTCTAATCCACAAGCCTGTGGAGGATGGGGGGTGTACGTGTCTAGAACCACTCCAAACACCAGGACATGGGCTATCTTAAACCTCACTCCTGCATGCATCCATGCACGCACACTTAACCTTACTTACATGAGTCATCACAACCAAGTCAATGGTACTACTCATACATGTGAAGTTAAGCACGTGTTTTTGCAGCATCAGGGCCATATATAATCCCACTGACTTCAACCTTCAGCCACAGATGCACAATTACAACTGTTCAGGGTCTAGCAGTATGGTCACTACAATGTTCTGTGCTCTGGATGTGACACTGCCACGAATGCCAAGGACCAGGAGAGGGCTCTTTCCACTTTCCTACAAGGAGACTATTCTGTAAGAGATGGTGGGACTGCACAGGCTGTAAATCAAGGAGTGATTTGGCCTCAGGCGTATGAAATCAGTAATGCTGCTTGCAATCGGTTAAAGCAGCAACTTAAAACAGGGAATACAAAGAACCTCACTTAGCTTCCCAAGTTAAAGTGGTCCCTCTAATAGCATAATCATACATACAAAAATATACACCAAGTGAAGAGCAACGGGGATTTTTTTTTTGGCAAGGGTTCTAATTAATATCATTTTGGATTTCTTCACAGGCTATTTACAGTTCGCTCGTAGTTTTGACACGATAAAACACATCAGTTGTACTGTTTCTTCAGAGTGTAATAATTGGAAATTAGTTTTTTGACAATCTGAATTCACTGTTAATGCGGGGGGGGTGGGGGGGGAGGGAACCACTTCACCTCAAACTACAGTACATGGGAAACCTGGTGTTTAAAGATAGTCTCATATTGGTCCACAATCTCAGATCCTCAGGGAGGGACAGTGAATTTTTTTATTCTCTCTTTCAGACATACCAAAGGCTTAGACTTCTTACCTCCTCTGAGGTGGAATCTTTTTAATGTTCTGCTTACAAATAAAGTTGGCAATTGGTAAATAGCAAGCTTTTACAAAAATATAATTTCAGATGATGTGCAGAAATATTGAAGGGAAGAAATTTTTTCCTTAAAAAATCCCACAAAAAATAATGCACCCTTCCTTCCATTGGAATTTTGACTTACCAGTGAATACCATGTCTGGGCCTAATCCTGAATTAGTGTCACTGTGGACACCTGACTCCCTATGATCAAAGTTTAACCTAGTGAAGTGAATACATCTGTTTCAAAACACAAACTATGAATGAACAAGGACCTAAATCACTTTCTCTCGTCTTCCCTTTTACGCGACTTTCATTCTCTATGGACATAATGTTCTGCCATAAAGCTAATGGGTGTCTGACTACTAGAAGCCTCATTACACATTTCAACATCCCACATTCAGGTGGGAATGAAAATAGGTTTTAATTTTCAAAAGTTATGGTGCTGAAAATACCTCTATAACCTACTCTTAATCCATATTAAAATCAAACTAATAAATGTGACAGGAGCTAAGTAATTCTAAGTGGTGACAGGTGAGAGCTTTGTCTGCTGAAGAGACTGCAGCAGCATGATGAATGAAACTAAGGCGTAAACAAATGAAACCTCATATTAGCTCCTCCCCTTTATAAGTAAGGACATAGAGTATTCTTTTAAAAAGTTATGCCCTTCACGTTTTCTGTAATGGAAGCACAGTGGTATTCACTTAAGAGAAACCCGCAGTCCTTTAAAAGCACCATAATCTATAAGTGAGTTAATATCTGGAGAAAAAAAAATACAGGGACCACCCTCAGGAATGAAATGTTAAAGATGTTTTTTTTTAATCAGTTTGTGAAGATCTACAAAAAAATAAAAAGGATCACATTCTAAAGGTTCAGTGCATTCAGCAGCTATAGTTTTGCTGCTAATTCATCTTTAAGTTGACTTTCAAAAATAACACCCTACCTCATCAAAATATACATTTTCCATTTGCTTTTAAATTAAAATAATAATAAAAAACATTTAAAGAATTCACAATCAATAGCATGACTAAGTTTCAGGATCATCTACAGCATATAATTTAAAGGTTCAAGATGCCAATATGCAGCACGCGGCAAGCCTATATGCTCCATGCAGCACACAATTAGAATATCTTGATCTTCACACTTCAGTTCTCGTCTTCCAAATGGTGTAAAACACCCACCTGAAGAAAAAAAAAGTCAAGGAACAAAGCAAACTGTGTAGTATATTGTCAAAGAAACACTTTTAGAACTAAAGTTAAATAAATCTCCAAATAACCCCTGTTTATTATAACTCAGAAAGATAGGGTGGGTAATATCCCCAACATTCCTTCTGGATCCCAGGAAGTAGCACCCCTTTGACATGTAGGGGTAGATGCCATTTTTGTGAAGTACCTCTTTGCCTCACACTCATTTTTTTTATTTAGTATCATGTATTTTTCCTGTAGTTATATGGAAAGATTTGTTCCACAACTGCCATGACTTCTACTTATAGTTTCTGTCATTTCTGTCCCTTTCTTACTTTGCCTGCCATCACACTTTCTTGGTGTGTTTCCTCGTAATGTATTCCTCGTAATGTTTCCCTCTTCTTGTTGTACATTGGGCTGGAAGCAGTTAGCACAACATTTTGTTCTGCTGGCAGCAGATTCTGGCCCCTTCTTCATGAGTGCAGAGGGATCCAGATACAGCAAAACCAACACACTTCCACTGTGCAGAAGATGTGAAGAGGCAGTGGCAAGGAGAAGTGATCTGCTTGAACTCCCTGTTTTCTGTTATTCATGGGGCATGATGAAAATTAGATCCACTTCTGTGTAAATCTACTTGCCCCCTGTGGTATGGGAAGGAGGGAGGTAAGGCGAAGACTAGGGCAAAGTTTAGGATGAGAGTAGTATGCATTGCTCTGCAGCACTAACAGATGACAGTGATCTAAACAGAGTACGGATGGAATTTCCTTCCCATTCTTATGTCAATTTTTCTGGAATACTTATTAGTTTTAATATCTAGTTTTCCTTTTTTTTTTTTTTTTTTTTAGAATAAAATGTATGCTGTTCACATTAATGCATACCAGAAGTCTAAGTTAAACAAACAAAAGTTATGTCCTGCAGACATGCCGGAGGCTAGTCTGAAGGCAGCATGACTCCTGCTGCCCTTATTAGCATTTCTGTATATATGGTGGGTTATCTTGTCATGTCGACAGTTAGACAGAATGAATGAAAACTTGCCCTTTATAAGAGCTGTTCACTGGGAAGCCTGATTATGCCTATTTAGTAGCCAGAATTAATAGAATTATCTTTAGTGGCATTTCATGTCAATTACCTCACCGGAAACATTTAAATATACTTTCCAGAGGAATGAGTATTCTTCTTGCCATAGTTCATGTAGAAGCATTTTGCAATACTACTGCACAAACAACACTTAAAGTCTTTCATACAAAATACACCCAAACCATTTACAGAGTTAAATTAAGCAAAGCATGGCCTATATAATAGACAGTGAAAAATATGGTTTACTAAATACATTAAAGCTGTTAGTCATAAGGGTAAAGCCAAAAGAGATGGCATTTACGCCTTTTCTATTTGTCTTAAAGATGCTTTAAGATGCCATCTGAATATTGATGGATAGTTGGCAAGGTCAAGAGAAACAGGAAGATCGTTCCAGAGGGCAGGGCTTCAGAACAGAAGGCTCTGGAAACAACTGTACCAAGACTGTACACAGGAACAGAAAGGAAGCTGTACAGGGAGAAAACACACAGAGACAGAGGCAGAGTGTGGCAAAACCACACAACACTTTAAAAACCAAGCAGAGCAGACCTAAGTACGCAGGAAAAAGTGGGCAACACCAAGCAAGAGTCTGGAGAGAGAAACTCTAGGAGATCACAGAGGAGGAGCTGCAATAATCAAGGCAAGCGCAATCCTTTCAGGGCAGGCCACCCATGAAGATGCCTCTATGGAGGTGAAGACTTGGGCAGCCTTTTCATGCCTCAAACCTCTTCCCTTGATGGGGGGAGAGGAAAAAAAATACAAGCTCAGAGGAAAGATTTCCTGACTCTCATTCCTCTGTTTTTCCACAGGAGGTGGCTATTTAGACCAAGGAGGGAAAATAATCATCAAGGTGAAGGGACAGAGACAAAGACAAGTTGAAGGGATGAGGGGAGGGAGGGAGGAGCAGCTTGTCCTGGGCCCTGAAAATCCTGGCCAAATCCGACTCCTTGATTTTTCATTCCCCAGGTTTATGAGTTTATCCTATGGAGGTATACTCCACCACTGACTACTTTATAGGAGAGTTAAGGAACAAGTGGCCCAATTTTGAAAGGTGCCGGGCCCCTCTCACAGGGACATCAAATGGGAGCTGTGGTTTCATGGCACTTTTAAGCCATCCTCTCCCCCGTCCCCTACTACAGTAGTTCACTTCCTGTTTAGTAATTACAAAACATGTTTAGATTAGGGCATTTAAAACTGTTGTCTTGTTCGTTTAAAGAAAAAAACTATTCAGTTCACTCCAACCCAACAAACTGGGGTTGTTTGATTTATTAATCATGCAGGCTCAACCTTTTATATTTGTCAAGGATACAATTCCATGTATGAGGGTACACATACAGTTTCCTTTGAGAACTCCACAGGGCAATAAAGCCTACCAAGCTGTTCTTCATAGAGGGTCAAGGCTTCAGTCAGATTGATACAGTTTCCCTGAGAGGAGGACAAAAACAAACAAAATACATCAAGTCCAAGTTACAATGAAGTAAAGAAAAATTACAGGTGCATAGGCACAAACACATTATACATTAATTCTAGGCTGCTCTGCACTACTGAGATATGTTTGAGCTCTTCTTAATACACAGTGCTTCTAATGTCAAATGCAAGATGAAGTCTGAATAACTTGTTTTTCCATCTCACTTACCCATTCATGTAAAGACACCTACCCAATCACAATTTGTAATGAATTTGTAAGTACTAGAGGATTGTCTGACTCCCTTCTCATTAGCAGGAGCATTCACTGCATCAGTGCTTCCAATTACAGCAGACATTAATGGTATTTATATGAACAGCATCTACTCCATAATCATTTACTTTATGATTGTTTCCATACATTAGTAAACAGCATTATAAGTCAGGTTTTTCTTAATTAAAATCTTAATCAGACTATGTTGTATGAGTTAATCTACATTTAACAATTTAATCTACTCATCCATAAAACAATATGTTGAAACAACAGAGATTCAGCAGTGGGATTTCTCCCTTACCTTTAGTTCCTTTGTGTCACATTACTGAAATGCAGGTGCTTCCCAAGAATACTTTTTTTGTATCTAAGCAACCAACAGCAGTTTTCTCCCCTCCAAAAATATTAGCAATTATTTGCTGAGCAAAAGAAAGTAAAATCTAAATGACCTGCTATTATTTCCCCTCGTAACACTATCACCAAGACACCACCACCTCCACAGGAGGACAAACTAAAAACCATATTCTTCCATTCCAAGTAACGAACTCCACAACAACCACCCACCCCAACAAGCCAGGCAGTTCTTGGGGTATACAACCTTTTATGAGACTAACTTGAAAAACTGAAAAGCCATGGTTTAAGAATCATACTCTTCAACAGGCAATTGAGAAAGTGAGATATGAGGTCGCCATGTAAAGAGGGTGGTAAGTAGAAGTCATGCAGACACTTCTCTGTACCTGGTTTGAAAAAAAATTAGGGATAAGTCAATCCCTTCTGAACATCTCAGGAAAAGAAGGTAAGTCCATAGTGTAGGCTATTATTTTAGGTGGTTCTGCAAGTCTAAGAAAGAGGTCCATATCAAAAATGTATGTCATTTGTTCCATGGTAGCCATCCCACTTGTGGATTTTGGTACCAACTGTAGAATTGAAGGCAAGACAACCAATTTTGAAGAGGAGGTGCTCTGCCATTTTAACAAAGTGCTCCAACAACAATTCCCCATTTAAGCACATGTACATACTTGCAGTTCATTTGTTTTCCCAACTGAACAAAAACATGCTCTCTCATCACTTTAACCAGGAAAAGATGTAATGTTGCTAGATAAACAACTTTATTCAGTGACATTTGCTGGAAATGTTATATTTTGTTCCTGAAAGATATACTGAGCATACTGACAGTCCAGCCCAGGCTTGTACTCACTGAAGGGACATCGGATTAAGATTCAGCAGAGGCATTTCCTCCTTCGAGAGACAGATACAAACACACCTTACATTTGGTGCAATCTGCTCATTCTAAAGTTCTAGGTTTTTTTCCTTTGGTATATTTTTAAAGGGTTCTTCAGAAGTATTTTTATGACTCCCAGAGATAAGTCATCTGACAGGGATAGTTTAGCAGCCCCCAAAGACTCCATCAGAAACAAGAAAATCTTCATTTCAATTTGGTTGTCCTGGAGATTTACCAAATAGCTTTCCAGATGGTTTCCAGGAGTCCCATTCAGCACATCCCTGTTAGAGAAAAGTCAACTGGGGAACTAATTCAGGATCTCTACTGTCACAAACAATCAACAGTTTCCTCCGCAACATGCATATATTCTATTTTAAAGAAACATCTAAGAAAATGGTTGTCATAAATATAAAGGGAAGGGTAAACACCTTTAAATGCTTCCTGGCCTGAGGAAAAATCCTTTCACCTGTAAAGGGTTAAGAAGCTAAGACAACTTCGCTGGCACCTGACCAAAATGACCAATGAGGAGACAAGATACTTTCAAAGCTGGGGGGGGCTGAGCGGGGGAGAAACAAAGGGTTCTCTCTGTCTGTGTGCTTTTTTTTGCTGGGACCAGAGCAGGAATGCAGGTCAGAACTCCTGTAAAGAGTTAATAAGAAATCTAGTTAGATATGCATTAGATTCTGTTTTGTTTAAATGGCTGAGAAAATAAGTTGTGCTGAATGGAATATATATTCCTGTTTTTGTGTCTTTTTGTAACTTAAGGTTTTGCCGAGAGGGATTCTCTAATGTTTTGAATCTGATTACCCTGTAAGGTATTTACTATCCTGATTTTACAGAGGTGATTCTTTTACTTTTTCTTCAATTAAAATTCTTCTTTTAAGAACCTGATTGCTTTTTCATTGTTCTTAAGATCCAAGGGTTTGGGTCTGTGTTCACCTATGCAAATTGGTGAGGATTTTTATCAAGCCTTCCCCAGGAAAGGGGGTGTAGGGATTTTGGGGGGAAAGACGTTTCCAAGTGGGCTCTTTCCCTGTTATTTTTGTTAGATGCTTGGTGGTGGCAGCAATAAGGTCCAGGGACAAAAGGTAAAATAGTTTGTACCTTGGAGAAGTTTTAACCTAAGCTGGTACAAATAAGCTTAGGGGGGTTTTCATGCAGGTCCCCACATCTCTACCCTAGAGTTCAGAGTGGGGAAGGAACCGTGACATGGTGGCAGAACGGTGGGATTAACTTGAAATCATTTTGAGATCAATTTGAACCAGAAGCACAGATTTAAAAGGTGTTTACCCTTCCCTTTATATTTATGACCATGGTCTATAACAAAAAGTCTATTGGTTCTTTACAGTCTTATGCCCAAGTAGAATATTTCGTTATTCCACACTAGAAAACACTCCCTTTATTCCTCAAATCAATCTTACGTCTGGACTCTTATGTTAGCATTCAGCGAGTATCTGAGTGCACCTTATACTTCAAAAATACTCAATTGGAAGACACTAAACACTGCTTTAGATGTCATCTGTTGACACGCTAAGAATGCTAAAATCAAAAGAGGTTAGCTTTGGCTGGTCTGCTGAGGTCTCTGAGCATTACAGCCCTTGGTTAACAAAATTCCCTTTTATTATGAGTTACATAGAGGATAAATGCAAGGTTTTTCTTTTTCTCAGTTTTCTCCTCAATAGATTAATACAAGAAATCTTTATTGGCACATTCTTGCTAAAGGTAGATTTGAGATCTCTAATCTTTGGGGTCAGCCTAGTAACATTTTACCCCTGCTGCAATAGACTAGACCTGTAAAAGAGATATCGGGGTGTGTGTGTGTGGTGTGTGTGTGAGAGAGAGAGAGAATCATAGGGGGCACCTCGAAAGGTGTTCCTTCTTCAAGGAACAAACATAGCTACATAGGACTTAGACTTGTATGAAACGCAAAAAATCCAGATGGTCCAAGTGAGAAAACAATGAACAATAAAACCTGAGCTGGCATTTATTTTTATATATATATGTATATACACACACACACACACACACAGAGGGCCTGTACTGGACATTTCCAAGAGATTTCCAAGAAGGGGATGAATCCTTTCTCCAGATTTGCAGACCTGCACCGGAATCACTACTGCATCCTCAGCCAAGCCACTCCTTTCCCCCTAATCACAATGGCAGGTGATCAACAGAGTTGCAGACTCAGCTCCCTTATTTGCTCCTTGTCTGGATTCTGCTGACTCTGCATTGAGGCACAGGGAACCCAGGACCACACAGGTAAGTAGATATGGTTATCAGCTATCTAGATGAGGACTGGAACAGCCAACCTTCCATCTAAAGAGATAAAAGCTACTTACCTCTGTCACTTAAACCAAAGGCAATGCTGCTTACCTTCATGTGGCAGGAAGAGAGCTTATATTTTGCAGACCTCCAGTCACTAGAAGCAGAAGCATGAACTAACAGATCTTCAACTCCACTTTCAGTAGCAACAATAGCTTTTTTACCATTTTTTAATTTCCAATGGATGTGTCACATTTATCATAGCAGACAAAAAACAGAGGAACTTATATGTAATGGTATAATCAAATCTTACTGACGTAATAACGTCTGAGCAAAAGTCCCTAAAAACATGTTCACGAGAAGAACTAAGCCTCAACATTGTCACTATTTATTGAGAGTAGCACTCATAATAATAGACCATTAATCTTAATAACATAGGAGAGTCATCATTAAACAAACTCTTGGCTGCATTCTAATCTTTCAAGAATTTTAAAGAATTGGATAATTCAACAACCAGCACCAGCTTCACAGTTTCTAGAATGACCTTTTCATTACATGCCCAAAAATCTACCCATCATAACCCTAGAAGATGTATTGCTTTTGACCTTTACATCTTAAATTTGCATGGAAAAGAGACAAAGGCAAAAAAGCCTAAAGTAACAAAACACTGCCTAAGCAAAAGCAATTTTTTTCACCTGTTTTGAGAAACTTTTGGAGTAGTCTGAATACAGAGATTTAAAAAAAAAAATTAAGCAAGGTATCTTCTTTTTTTCCTTCCAGACTACTTGCATGATTTGTACCTGACTGGAAAGACGTAAAATACTACCACTGCTATATATATATATATATATCTGGTTCTCATTCTAAAGACTTAAATTTCACCCTTTTTTCTAAAAGTCCTCTTATCTGAAGGTGAGGATCAAGCTCTTTTAATGACTTTGATGACAAAAACCAAGGTGGATAAAAATCAAATTTTTTTTAAAAAAATAAATAAAAATCGGGTTTTATTTAAATCGGATTTTTTTGATAAAATGCTTTTTGATGAAAAACCTATCTCAAGATAGTTTTAATTAAGATACATTATAGCTCAAAGATATCATCATGGAATAGGGATTATAAATTCTAACTGATAGTATGAGACAACATATTCATGTAATGTTTAAGAAAAGTTTTGTAAATGAGTTCCAATAGTTTGTGGATTAGGGACCCAATCTTATGGGGTTTCAGGGGCTTCTGCATAGATGATTTAGGCTAATCTTTCTATCT